GGGAGCAGTATTCCTAGTACTGATCTGAGACAGTGTATCCAATTGGACATGGAGGTCAGTAGTGTCACAGGCTACAAACATTAAGATGGATGAAGATTTGAGAAAAGACCAACAGATGTGGCAGTTAAGTTGTCTTGGTAACTTTGAAGAGAGCAGTTTTGTTTGAAAAATTAGGTAGAAAGATGTATTGCCAAGGGTTGAGAAGTGAAATCAGAGGAGTAATTTAATAGAAGGATCATGTTCAAAACAATATAAATACTTCTTTGTTCCAAGCCATCCTTACCCTACCTCTTTTCTCTCATATCTTAGGCAGCTTTATTATTTTCCCAAACCTTTATAGGCTTGAGATTAGAAATAAATAAAATCTGCCCTTGATACTACATCTGCTTTTGTTAACTTTGTGGTAGCCCTAAATGTCCTCAAAATGCTCTTAATCTATTTTATATTTTGAATATCTAGGTAATTGGAAAGTTGGAAATACTCCCCTGACAGAATCTCATATTATTGCCTCTAAATATCAAGCACTTTACTGTGGCTGTTTTATTCAGCCCCATTTTAAAGATAGGTTTAATCACTTGTATTCCCGCAAAGAACTATTGAAACAGAGACTTGGAATTAGGGCAAATAATGGATTATCTTTTTGTAGAGATGATGGTTAATGTTAGCTTTTCTGATTAGGTAAATAAAAATCTGTTTGACAATAAAAGTTAATTCTGTTTTAAAGAATTCAAAATAAGATTGTCAGTTAAATGCTTATGATTATAGTATATCCATTGATATTACAGAAAGAAGACTTATTTTTTTAAAAAAAAATAACATTGCAGGCCAATTAATATAATCACTTTTTACCTTTTTTTTGGAGAAATAAATTGCTTCGTCTAGAAAATCTTTTATATCACTCTCACTGAAAATCATAAATATTTTTAATTCAAGCCTGCCTGATTGTGGGAAATAACCTTTTCATTTTTCTAAATAATAACCTTCTGCTCTTTCATTGATAGGAATTTTGATTCATTACAGTAAAATTATTTTCCATTGGTACCCAATAAAAGCACATAGTTTGTATATAAAATGAAATTTCCCTGACTATAATTGCTTTTTATCGTACTGGTAGTTTGTAGTAGGTCAGTTAAACATCATTCTTAATATATCAAAAGACTTCATTAGTAGACATTATAGAATCTATTGGCACTATTATAAAATTATGAATGTAGCTTTAGCAAAGTTGTATGATATTTTTCAATGTATGATTTATTCAAGATATATGGAGATGGAAATAGAAGTGGAATGAAATATAATGACTGTATTTAATCCTCCTGATGAATTTTCTTGAGGTGCATCCATTGTTTTCTAAATGGAAGAAAGTTGATATATTGAATATTTCATTTTACTTGATATCATGGTTTGGTTCTCTTAATTTCTTCAACATTTTAGCAAGTTACACCGTAGCTATGCAGCAAGCAATTTCTGACCATTATAGGATATGATCATAATCTCATATGTGAAAGTAACAATGCTTTGCCACAATTACTGTGTGGTACACATGTTTCAAAACCAGCTTTTTTATTGTAAATCAGTAGAAGTAATATGTTTTTCTTCAGTTTGTTTTTTTTCGTTTTTTGGGTTTTTTTTGTAAACTACTTCCATTATTGCTGTTTCACTAAGTCAATAAGTATTTCCTAAGCATGCCAGATACTGAGGATGCAAAAGCAAAATCGTACAAACCAGAAGTCTGTTCTTTTTGCAAGAAAGAATAATGTGGTATAGCAAGTGTATATCTAATTATAAGTTAGGAAGTGTAATGTCTAATGTGGTCTTTATGTCTCTCGTGAAGACAAAGGCTTTCTTTATTTTCTTTCATTCTTGAAGAGTACCTGCATTTCAGTAGAGATGTTTGGAAGCTATATAATACATATACATACCTCCTCAGCTAAGTAGGAAATTCACTAGGAAAAGGCTAGATAATTGGCCTTTGATTCTGCCACTTTCTAAACTTGGTGCTAATAGCGAGGTACACAGAAAAATTCAATTCAAAGCTAAAATTAGAAAATATCAGAGTTGGAAGGAACTTTAGAGGCCATCTAATCTATCTTATAACAGTATATCCATCCCTTACACATCATTCAGACTATACTTGAAGACTTCTGGTTGGGGTGAATCTCCTGTCTCCCACAGCTGCCCTTTCTACTTTGGGATAGTTTTAATTGTTTGAAAGGTTTTTTTCCCCCTTTACATTAAACTTAAATTTCCTCTGCAACTTAAAACAGTTGCTCCTTATTTTATCCTCTGAGGCCAAATAGATATTCTCAATTAGACTAGAGAATCTACTTCATCTCACACATGCTTTAGTGAGCTCATCCATCTGTGCCTTCTCATTTCATGACTCTTGTCCTTGTTTTCCCATAAATCCCCTGGAGGGGCTTCACCCAGAGTGCTAGGAGACTTCTATAGATAGATCAGTGGTCTCTAAACTCTTTTGGTGGTTCTCGTCGTCGGTAAACAATTTGGGAACATGCACTCAATATAAGTATATGCATTTATAAATTTTGATCTGGTCACGGTATGAATTATTAATATATTGTTTATAAAATAATTGAATTGTAATACACCTTAAAGTTTTCAGAATACTTTACTGTTTAACTTCGGTTATTTCATTTGATCCCCACAACAGCCCTGTGAGATAGGTGCCATTATCGTTGCCATTTTACAAAAGAAGTAACTGAGGTTGAGAGAGGTTAAGTGAATTTCTCAGGTCAAACAGCCTCTGGTGAGAAATGATGAGGATCAAAACTAAGGTGTTGGCTGTGTGATTGGAGAGAAGGGGATAATTGCAAGAAAAATCGTTAAGATAGAAACAAAAAGATTTGACCAGTTGCTTGCACGTGTTGGATAAATAAAATGAGGACTTGAGGATGACATTGAAGTTGCAAATCTAAGGGATGGCAAGGATAAGGGTTCCCTTGACAAAAATTGGGAAGTTTGGAAAAGAGATGGGTTTGGTGGGCAAGTTAACATAATGGGAACTATAATGCAGTAGGTGTAGATCACCCATCTATCTTACTTAACTATGTCATTTTCTCCCACCCAAAGGGAAGAGAGACTGGAGGAGGCAGGGCTTTTATTTCACAGAAGGCTTTGAACACAGAGATAGCCTATGGAGGGACACCTGCCATGATCAGGAGGTGATGGGGGGAGCAGGGGATAAGGACACTGGTGCAGAGGGGAAAAGCTGGTGGTAGATTTAAGGTTAGGTTATAACTGCCCTGAGAGCCCTAAGAGCGGTACGGAAGGAGGTAGATTGGGAGCTTCTGTAGGAGAGAGCATACCGTGGAGGAGTAGTGGGTGAAGAAAGGGAAGTGGTTCCATTGAAGAGGATGAGATGAAACCCTTCTTCTTAATTTACAATTGATTGATCACAAACCTTGATGTCATGCCACATTGGAGTCTACTGCTCTAACTTACTTGAAAATTCTTGGATATCTGTGGATCATATGAGCTTTCTGTTATTTCTTGTTCTTGATATTTAGTCATCTATCTCTCTGATCTGTACTTCGGATGCAGATTAAATTTTGCCTTCTGAGGCAGTTTCGAGGCTCTTTTAGTGTCCTTATTGTGGCAACTTATTACATTAGTTAATTTTCTTAAGTTCTGAATAGTCAATGTTGATGTCTGTTCTAAACCCATTTCCCATTTTGGGGGTGTCAACAGCTTTTTTAAAGAGGACTGGTTGGAATTGTCTTGATTGGTAGATGTTTTCTCATTTTAATTTTTTAAATTTGACATTGATTTTTAATCTTTATTTTAGTGAGTCATTTTGGCTATTCACAGGTAGTCGATTTGGAAATGACTTTTACATTTATAACTAGTAATTTCTTGTTTGTTAAAATTTTCTTTTTTGTGTGTAATTTTATTTGGCACTCACTATGTCAAGCATCTTCCAACTCTCTTTCCAAAGTGTTCATGATATAAAGGCATGAAATCTTTGGACTTAAAAGTCTCCTTTCTCAATCCTGAACTATGCCTTCCAGCTTGTTTGTCATCATTCTCTTTTATGCACACTTTTGCCCTGGCATCATGAACTATTAAAGTATATGTTGATTTAATTGGAGGATTTTAATAAGTTTTTCATACTTGATTGCCCCTCAAATTCTTGAAAACAGCTCTCATGTTTCTTTTAGTTATTTTTTCCTCCAAGATAAATATCTTCAGTTTTTACAGTTGATCCCCACTTAATGTAATCTTAAGACCAGTGATTGTATGTCATAATTTAGCTAACTATCTTGAAATTGACTAGTGGTCCCAAGTGGGGTTAAATATGAAAATAGAACTAATTTGGTATTAACACATAATCATTAATGGAGAAATAAAAAGTCTTTAAGTATAGTTCCTTAATATTTATATCATATTATATTTATATGTATATAATATATATTTATTTGCTATATTCCTTCATTTGGACATTAGCTTTCCTTCTTTCAGAAGAGAAGATGGTCTAACTTGATTTTCAGTATAAGTGTTAAGTAGAGTTTATAAGATAAATAAAAGATCTTTGCTGTTGTGATTATACTGTTAAAACCTTACTTCCTGAGGTGTGTGATACCATATAAAGTATCACGATAATTTTTGCCTAAGAAACATGATGTAATAGCCCTTGGGAAAATCAGAGTAGTTTTGCATAATGAGTATTACTTAGAGCTAGAAGAATTTAATTGCCACTAGGGAATAATTTCCTACTGTGTGTTTTGTTTCTCAAGTTTTCAGAACAAGAATGAGAGTGAATTTCAACACACTGTGTTTTAAGTGTGGCACTGAGAAAAATTATTATTGCTTATTACAGTCAAAGCTGACTTTGGTACAGAATTTTCCAACTATAGAATTGGGTATACCATTTCATAAATAGTATCTACAGTTCTCTGTATTAAATATAGTTTGTGAGAGTTCATGCGAAAAGAGTAAAAGTATAGTTTAAAAATTACCAATAACTTTATTTCTTGCCATAGAAAATGACTGAAATATTGGAACATCATTTCTACTGGAAAGCCAATTAACATCCATTCCTCAAATACTTGATCACCATCAGCCCTGGCATGGCGCAGAGCAGTCCACAGCTTGATGTCCAGATACTCCATGATCTCCGGCAACTTTTCCCTGAGATTCCAGAGGGTGTGGTATCACAATGCATGTTGCAGGTAGATTGCAGAGTAATGAAACAGAAATGTAAAAACCATAATTTTCCCTAGAATTTACAATTTGAGCAGTCGTCTACATTTGAGTTAAAAAATAAAATCTTGGTATTATGAGGCAAAAAATTGTTGGAAATGAAATAAAAGGAAAGATTTTAATAATTTCTCTTTTTTATTTTTTGGGTAGTTTAACTACTTCATCCCCCAAATCCTTAGAGTGGCAATATTGTTCTGAATTCCTGCATAACATTTTCTTGTTTGTACTTTTAAATATTAACCTGTTTTCACCCTATTATAAAAAAGTTTTAGACATTTCATTACCATGCTATTTTTATAGTATTTCATAACATTTATACGACGTGAATCCACTTCCTCGAAATTAAGCCCGTTCAACTTGTCTTGTTATATTTAGAAATTGAAAATATCCTTATAATGAAATGGATGGTACTTCTCCATTTCTTTGGATTCCCAAGTAGAATGAAGGCTCTTTCCTAAGGGTTGGGTTCACTGTCCCTTCTCATTAGATCTGTAGTTAACTTCATGTTACCACCACCCAAGAGCAAAAAAAGAAGGAATATTTCTTCTTCAAATATGCTGTCCAAGTATGACCGCTCTTTAAGACTTTTCATTGCTTTCTTTGTATTACCAATGCCCAGCATAATACCTTGAACACTGTTTCAGACCTCTGAAAGTAAGGTGTGATGGATAGAGGGTTGGTCAGGAAGACCTAGATACGATTCCTGACCCTGATGCATATAGGCCCTGTGATCATGGGAAGATACTGTAACCTCATGGTTCCCCAGGAAGCTCTTTAAGAATGTTACAGACATTTTGCTTATCTACACTGATGGAGGGAATTTCTAAAACAGGAGGTTCTTACATGGTTTACATGTGTGATGTCTTACACATCATAAACACAAGAAATGTTTGACTTGAATTACTTGGTCTTTTCTAGCACTGTCACTTCACCCACTGTGTTTATTTCAATTTAATAGGTGGTTCAGATGTAGAAACTAAATTTTACCTACACTGTGAGGGAATTCAGAGATATAGTTGATATAAGTCTTAAGTACATGTCACATTACTCAGTTAATTCAGTACAACTTTACAATATTAAATCATCTCTTCCAGAAACTCCTTGTCTTCACTTCCCCTTTTAGTCCATGAACCCTTTTTTAGATATCCTCTATTTTGCGGGTGGGGTTGGGGGAGTCTTAGCCCCCTGCCTTTGAGTTCATAGACTTTAGTCTCCTTTTAGTTTCTGTAGAAGCAAGGTCATTTTCTTTCTTTTTTTTTTTTTAGCAACATAATTTTCTATTTGAGTTTACTGCTTTTGACTTCTGTTGAATAGCCCTAGTAACTCAGATCGTTTGCTTTGTTTGCTCTTCCTGGTGTTTTTACCCAATATGTGCACTCTTTACAGTTAGGGTCTTTTTTGTTTGTTTGTTTGTTTTTACTGAGGGAATTGGGGTCAAGTGACTTGCCCAGAGTCACACAGCTAGTGAGTGTTATGTGTCTGAAACTGGAGTTGAACTCAGGTGGTGCTCCTGACTCCAGAGGCAGCGCTTTATCCACTGTACCACTTAGCTGCCCCACAGTTAGGGTCTTTTAAGGAAATTATCTCCTCAGTCCCTCCATTATAAACTCACTCATTCTGATTTCTCTCTTTAGCTATTTCTTAGTCTAATCTTTATAGCATTGTCACCCAGTGTCATCAATTTTTAACTCAACTGGCCCCGCCTAAAGTCCTTTCTTCCTAGGAGCATAGGTTCATCCTATGCTTTCTTTAAGAATTAACAATACATTTGTTAAGGTCTAGACTCAAGAAGAGCATTATCCTTTTATTCAAACATTTTAAAAGATTGAAAGTGTACATTTTACATTTTAAACACAAACTTCAGGCCTTTATTAAAGATCATCTTTCAATTCATCCTCAGTTTTGGGGGAGATAGATATTTTTGCCACATTTTTATTAGTTATTTATTGCTTTTCCTTTCGAATGCTTGAATGATTCTGTACATACTTTAGTTCTCTTTTTAGGCTAATAACTTAATAATAGAATGTTAATTAGGGTCTATAAAATCATTCGAATTCCTTAAGGACAGATTCTATTTCTTTGTATCCCCAGTGTCTAATAAAGTACATTATACATTTTTTGGGCAAATAAATGCCTGTTGAATTTAATTCAACAAATCTATTCAGTAGGTATTTCAACTCGTATTTGTCCTCCTTTTACAGATGAGGAAACTGAGATTCAGGCTGTTACCTTTTTTTTGTTCTTTCCATTTTTCCTGAAGTTCCACTTTGCAAAGTACTTTGTCCATTTGTATGACTTTATTGAAGACAGATTAGACTCATTCCTCCCAGATTATATGTATATATTTTTTACAAAACACTACATTGTTTACTTTTTTTAGCTTCTTTTTTTCTCCTGTTATAAGACTTTTTGCTGTATTTGCATTTGTTAAATCCATCTTTTGTTGCTGTAGGGATTTGTTGTGGAGATAGTTACAAATCCAACTTGTGACCATTATTTTGAATTTGAATCCCAATTTGCAAAACACCCTCCACAAGTTGATGTGGAAAACTTTTCATTCAAACCATTAAAAGAAATCTCTTTCCCAAAATGATTTAAATCTCAAAAAGAGTTTTATATTTTTCTTTCTCCTACATGGTGTTTTGAAAGATTATAAAGAAGACACATTTCTTTTCTCCTCCTTATTCTATTTTAGAGAAATCAGTGAAATTTCTCATTTGGTATTCTTTTCACGTACAAAATTTTGAGTTTACTTTCTGTTGTTGAATTTATTGTTTCACTACTCTGTGTTTCTTTGATCACTAGATGGCTTTTCCCTAGTTCTCTTTTCTCATGTAAAATGTCCTTTTTCCAGCTATTAATAGGAAAAACATTTTAATGTGACTTATAAGAAATAAACTTGAGGCAAATAGAAAAACTTGCAGATTATTGACGCATTTCAAGACATTTGTTCTTGATTGTGTACATACTAATAAAAAGCAGAGTACAATTCATTGTTCTTTTAGGGGGCACCTGCTTTCCAAGTTTTTCTTTTGTGTTTAGTAAAGGTCACTTATCACCTTAATATAAAAGATCACTTTAATCTTTGGTTTAATATAAAAAGAAGAAAACCTTTCTTAGATGAAATATTTTTGCTAATTTTGTAACATTTTGGATCGGTACCTTTTTTGGGGGGGTAACTGACCATTTAACCATTTAATAATTTTGAAAGTCTGCCCATATAAATCTCTCAAGATGTTGTCAGGGCACTGTACGGATTTTAGTATGGGAACCAATTCTGATTCAGAATCACTTTGTGGGCTGGGCCTTACCTAGTTGAAAATGTGTCCCCTGTTTTAAAGAATTTGTTTTAAGTTGTTTTTTTTAACTTAATTTTCTCTTATGAACAAACAGGTGAAAGTATATGGCAAAGCTGATGAAAAGAAGAGTGAATGCTACTTTTTGGGATTGTTTTCAATTGTAGTAAAAACCTAAAATTTATTGTGCCAAAGGTGTAGGATTCACTGTTGTTAACTACCATTTTCCAGATTTTCAGTTGTAAAGGATGTCTAATGAATGAATGAAAATAAATAATATAAAATTGTTAACTGTGCAGAGCACAGTGTTAAGTTATGGGGGTATGAATACAAAAGCAATGAAAGTACCTACCTTTAAAAATTTCGCCTTCTAATGGGGAATCAACACACATAGTGGAGTGGTCTTTACAGGAGGGGCATTTTGATTCAGGTGATTACAGGGGTGGTGAGTGGGACAATAGGAGAGTAGTACACTTCTCATCCAGGACAAAGCAAAGATGATTTGATTCTGGTTCCAGAATTGGATTGGAAGAGAAGTTTGGGGAGAAGGTACCTGAGTAGAGAATGGCTTTTGTGATAAGAGAGATAGGAAATAACTTGAAGAATGGCTGGGGCTTTCCTGAAGTAGTGTTTTTGGAGATACAGTCAGTCATCAGTAGAGTGGAGTCCCTAGGCTTAAATTCCTCCAGGGCATGGTTTCTGGCCTAGACTGCTAAGGAGGTAGTTATGATTATACTTCTGGGACAGGGATCTGGGGCCTGCTAACTTTCTTATACATGCAGTATTTTTAAACAATTAGCTACCATCTTATTTGGTATGTACTTTATAAGAAAATTTCATTGGATATTCATAGATCATATATATATAAAACTGTCCTTTTGAAGTAATAATCAACAAACATTTATTAAGTGCTTACTTTGGGCCAGAAAGATAATGTGAGCCAGGTGTGAAGTAGTAGAAATCATTTTTTATCCCTCCTCATTATTTAAAACTATGGTCTTTTCTATGGCTAAGATATTTTGTCATGTCTCTGTTAAGCTTTGCTTGAGCTTAACATTATTTATAGTATTATAGTTGATTAATGTGCTGATATAACCATGCCATTTTCCCCCTTAGAATAACAACAACCTGGAAGCTTGCTGCCGAGCCCTTTCACAGGAAAGCAGCAAATACTTGTATATGGAGTACCAGAGCCCAGATGACAACAGGATGAATAGAAATCGCTTTTTGCACATTAACCTGGGTGTCCATCCACCTAGCAACTACCATACAGGAGATGGAGCTCAACTTAATGGTGGTCGAACACTGGTACATAGTTCAAGTGATGGTCATATTGATCCTCAGCACACGCCAGGTAAACAGCTGATATGTTTAGTTCAGGAACCACACTCGGCCCCAGCTGTTGTGGCTGCTTCTCCTAACTACAACCCATTTTTTATGAATGAACAGAATAGAAATGCAGCTACTCCTCCTCCACAGCCACCTCAACAGCCATCTTCCATGCCAACAGGAATGAATACATCTGCTATGCAAGGGCCTTCACCACCACCACCACAGCCACCTCCCTCATACATGCACATACCTCGTTATAGTACAAATCCAATTACTGTTACAGTATCACAAAACCTCCCCTCTGGACAGACTGTTCCCAGAGCTTTACAAATTCTTCCACAAATTCCAAGCAATCTCTATGGGCCTCCTGGTTCTATATATATTAGGCAAACATCTCAAAGTTCATCAGGAAGACAGACTCCTCAGAGCACACCCTGGCAGTCCTCACCACAAGGCCCCATACCACATTATAATCCACGTCCTTTACCTGTTTATCCACATCAGCAAAACTACCAGCCTTCTCAGTATTCTCCCAAACAGCCACAGATCCCTCAAACTGCTTATCGATCACCACCTACTTCTCAGTGTCCTTCACCTTTCGGTTCTCCTCAGCACCAAGTGCAACCTCCTCAGTTGGGTCACCAGAGCTCGCATGTCTTTATGCCACCTAGTCCTTCAACTACTCCACCCCATCTGTATCAAGCACCTCCAGGCTATCAGAAACAGGGAGGTCATTCGGTATCCTATCTCCCTTACAGTGCATCTAGCTTATCCAAAGGTTCCATGAAGAAGATAGAAATTACAGTTGAGCCCCCACAAAGACCTGGGACAGCAATTAATAGAAGTCCTTCACCAATAAGTAATCAGCCATCTCAACGGAACCAACACCCATTGTATACAGCCACTACTCCACCTTCAAGTTCTCCTTCAAGAGGAATGTCTAATCAACCCAAACCTCCATTTAGTGTTAATCCAGTATATATTACATACACACAACCAACTGGACCTTCATGTGCTCCTACACCATCTCCTCGGGTAATGCCAAACCCAACAACAGTTTTCAAAATTACAGTAGGTCGAGCAACGACTGAAAATCTTTTAAATTTAGTGGACCAAGAAGAGCGTTCTGGAGCACCAGAACCTATTCAGCCCATTTCATTGATACCAGCACTGGGAGGAGAAAAAGGAAGCCATAAATATCAGAGAAGTTGTAGTTCTGGATCTGATGATTATGCCTATACTCAAGGTAAATTTTTCTAATCTGTGTGAAATTTAGTCTTTATGATGATTTTTCCTCTCGTGTTTTATTTACAGAGCTAATAATATTCCTTTATGTCAAATGTTTTCAATTTGAGGAATTTTATTTTCAAGATTCTATTAATGCTAACTATATTGGACAGTTATCAGCTTCAGGCTGGATAAAGAACGTTTTCAACATTGGAAAAATAATTTTATGAAAAATACTAAGAGAAAATATAGAAAAATGAGATACATAAAGAATAACAGTACACAGAAATATGTTAGATATTTGGACAAAGTACTATGAAGAAACATAATGAAGTATAAATACTTTTAAAAGTAGTGATGAATAAAGGCAGAAGTACAAATGGAGATCAAAAGGGTTCAGGATTAAGTGGCACTTGATTCTCTAAAATAAGTGGAATATATAAATTAACTCAGATTGTGCAGAGATGTTTCAAATTAACAATACCCTAAAGACTAGGAGGAAGAACCAAAAATTCACCACTTTCTAAGAAAGGTAATTTCTGTTATTTCTTATGTCTGATATTAGTTGTAACTAAAATATACCTAAATTTAGAAATAGAGATAATTTTAGAAAAATTTAAAATATTCTGTATGTTCTGATATTAAGAATAGTTTGAGTCTTACTCTAATATGCGTATGATTATTTTGCTAGCCCTTTGAAGAGAGAGATTACAAATGCAGTGGCAATAGAGTTAGGAAAGAATCAGAAATAACAAAATAGAGTTGACTGTTTAAACTTTATATTTTATTATTATATAGAAATTGTCAAGAAATTATCATGTTTTCAATGTTAATCTTTACAATGACTTTGTAATGCTATAGCCTTGCTATTACATCAGCGAGCAAGGATGGAGAGGTTAGCAAAACAATTGAAACTTGAGGAAGACGAGCTAGAGCGGTTGAAGGCTGAAGTTAATGGTATGGAGCATGACCTTATGCAGAGACGACTTAGAAGAGTTAGCTGTACCACGGCAATCCCAACTGTAAGTGATTGTGTGTGTGTGTGTGTGTGTGTGTGTTTTAAAAAATACTCATGGGATGATGGTCCCATTCATCCACTGTTCTTTTCATGGTTTATATATATGCTGAAGTGTTTTAAAGGATTGAGTTTTTAGTAGGAAACATGAAGCATTTTTGGCCACTCATAAAGGACAGAAATAGAAACTATAAATGTTTAATATATTTACTATTATTAAAGATAGAAAATAGACTTTTTCCAGAGAAAGCATATTAGCAAATTATTTAATAATGGCTTATTTTTACTTTTGAGGTCATGACTAATCAGTATTTATTTGAGCTAAGGTCCCATACTAACATTAGTTCTTGTTAATCAGTAAGAGTGTTCTAAGCTCTTGCTTTGTGCAATTGATAATATGCTAAGTGTTAGGAATTTAAAAAGAGAAAGAGAAAGACCTTCCCTGCCCTCAAGGAACTTTGCATTTCCATAAGTATATATATCATTTTAGTCTTGTGTTTAAAAAGAAAAAATCCAAGCTCAGTCATTATTTTAAAAAATCCAAGGGCAGTTATTATTTTAAAATGACAGTTATAATCAAGATGTGTAGGGCCTTATCTAAAAACAAAGATTTGCTTAAAAAATAGAAGTATAAACAGCACCTTTCCTTGAATTTACTAATTATTCTTCCTGTTGTTAGTAAATCTTTGGTAGAATTTAAAAGCTATTAGAATTTGTTACTGTTATTTTGGGAGTCAGTTTAGGTGCTGATAATTATTTTTTATGTTAAATTACATTGTGTAAAAAAATTAATTTCATTTTGCTTATGTATGGTCAAACATGATTTTTATTTTTAATCCCTTTTTCTAAAAAAGAAAGTGCAATTAAACCTAGCTAGTTTGGATTATTAATTATAAACTAACAATGTACAGGTAAGGACAATTGCTACTTACTTTACTGAGAAAATTGAGGCCATTTGATTCAAGCTCCCTCTTCTTTTCATCTCAAGGCCCACACATCATCTCTTGTTCTCTTATCCTTTCCTGAAGTCTGACAGTGAAGTGGACAACCTCTCTGTACATGTGCCCTTGATCTCATTGCTTCCTGTTTTCTCTAGTAGATTTCAGTGTCAGTCATTTTTTACTCCATCTAGTCTTCAACCTCTGTCTACTCTTTTCCCCCCCTACTATCTTCAAACATGCCCATTGTTAAAAAGAAAAAAAAAAACTTCTCATCTCTCATCCTTAAAAAAAACTTCACTAGACCTTACCATTCCTTCAAATTGTTGCCCTATATGTTATCATCTTATATTCTTTCCTTTTCCCAAACTCCTGGAAAAAACTGTTTATACTCATTCCTTCCACTTCTCCTCTTCTCACTCGTTGTTCAACCTTGTTGCACTTTGGCTTCCAACCTCATCCCTCAACTGAAATTGCTCTTGGTCAAGTTACTTTGATCTTTTAATTGCCAGATCTGATGGTCTTTCTTCAGTCCCTGACCCCCTTGACCTGTTTGCAACATTTGTTACTATTATATACCCTCTCTTTAGACATTGTTTTCTATCTGGGTTTTTATGACATCACTCTCTTTTAGGTCTCTTACCTTTCTAACTGTTCCTTCTTAGTTTCCTTTTCTAATTCATCATTTATTTCACATCACCTAACTGCAAATGTTTCCCCAAGACTGTCCCGGGATCTTTTTTCCCTCTGTCTTCTGTCAGACACTATTAGCACCCATGGATTTAATTATTTCTATACAGATGATTCATGGATCTATGTATCCAACCCTAATTTCTCCCCTCATTGTCATTCCAACATCACCATTTGCCTGTTGGACAATTCAGACTGGATGTCCAGTTGGAGATATCTTAAAACATGTCTAAAAAAGAACTCTCTATACCTACCCCCCTTTCAAACTTCCCTCTTTATTTTAAGGCACCACCATTTTTCTGGTCGACAAAGTTTGTAACCTCAGCATTAATTCACTCTTCCTTACCCTTTGCCCCAGATTATCTAATCATTTGTCAGATCTTGACATTTCTGCCATCGCAATGTATCTTGTTTCAGGCTCCTTTTCAGTACTCTTAGTTCAGGCCTTCATTATCTGTCATCTGCATTATTGCTGTGGCTTCCAAATTACTCTTTTTATCTCAGATGTTTGTTTCCATACTTTAGTCTTATTTTCCACACTGCTACCAAAAGGATTTTTCTTAAGTACAGTTCTGACCATGTCACTCCCTTACTTAGTAAACTCCAGTGGATCTTTTTTGTCTCCAATCTTAAAAATAAAGTTTGTTTGTTTTTTACTTTTAGAGCCCTTCACAATCTGACTCCAACCCATCTTTCCAGCCTTTTTATATATTACTTCCTCTTACTGTAATTACCAGTTGAGCCAAGCTCAACTTTCTCCCAGTCCCTTACCTACGAAGGCCAGTCTCTTGTGTCTGTGCCTTTGCATTGGCCATCCCGTCTACCTGGAATGCTCTGCTTCTTAACCTCTGCCTAAAGAACAGTTCGAGCTCACATGAAGCCTTTCCTGACTTTTAACTGCTGGTGACTTCCCTCCCAAATGTCTTTGTATTTAACTGTTTTGTATTTATTATTCATATTTATTTGTTATACACGTATTTATTATGTACTCACTTAAATATGTACTTGGTTGTCTCTCCTCTTTGTGGGCTTGTTGAGAGTAGCTATTGCATCAGTATGCTTTCCCAGTGCCTAGAAAAGTGCTTGGCACATTTGTAGATGCTTAATAAATGCTTGTTGATTGATTGTAATTATTATTGTTTAACATGTTAGTGAGTTCTAAGGTGCTTGCTTGTTTAATTATTTAATTAATTTAATGTTTCAACATTCTGCTTCATTCTTTTTCTCATGTACTCAGCTATTGTTTACTATGTGTATAGTATTGTCATAGGCATGAAGGGAAAAAATTAAGTCATAAGCTATTTGAGAGCAGGGTCCCTTTCTTACTACCTTTCTCTTTAGCACCTAGAACAGTGTCACATACATAGGAGGCACTAAGGATATTTGTTGCATAAGTAAGAAACGATTCCGGTCTTTTCTGAGTTTGTTTGTTTATTTTGGTAGATAGCAAGCTTTATCCATCTGAAACTATTACTTAACAATGGAAGGAGTTTGTGATTGTTACTTTTGAGTTGTTTATTAAAAAAAAAATACCCTAGAAATTTAAAATTGGAGATAAATGAACATTGGGAAGACCTGAGGAGATGTAGCACTTACCCACTTGTCAAGGTGGGTAAAACTCAGGTGGAGAAAATGTAAGAACAGGTATTCCAAGATGGATAAAGGACTAGTTTCAGTAGATCCTTGATACTGGCATATAGAGAACAAAAAGTGAAGAAAGCTTTCAATCTAGATTTTATGGTTTGTGTCCAGCAATACTGAGAATTATTGCTGGAGAGTTAGATGGTAGGACTGGATTGTGGAGAGCAATGATACTGTGCTGACGAGTTTGAACTGTTTTCTGTAAGTAGTAGGGAAGCATTGGAAGTTTTAAATCAGGGGTGTAATGAATATTTTACCATGTTTACAGAAATTTATTTTGATGGCATCCTGTAGAAAGGATTAGAGGTGAGTGAAGCTATTCATTTGTATAATCTTATTTTCATAGGACATTGTAGAGGTAATTTTAGCTCTGTTTCAATTTCACACGTTCCAAATTAGTGGATTTCAAATCTATGAGGGAATCCTTGGGGTACTTCACTGCTAAATAATGAATTTTCTGGCCATGGCAGACTTGTGAAATAGATAAAAATGCAAATAGACGCTCAAGGCCTTCATCTTCTTAATATTACTCTATTCATCCACTCTCCAGCCAAATAATATTACACCATTCATCTAGCCAAACTGCTGGACATCTTTCCTCATGCTGTTCCTATGCTTGAACATGTTCTTTCCTCTTCTTTACCTTTAGAATTCCCATCTAAATTTAAAATTCATCTCAAATAATAGTTGCTTCATAAATCCTCCCCAATGTTTCTTATAAACACCTTCCTTTTCAGATCTCATATACGATAAAAAATTTTTTTTTGTTTTTATTCATTGTTTATTTTATCTTATTAGAAAATAACCTCTACAGGCAGATCCTTAGTCACATCAAGATTTTTCTCTTCTTCAGTGTCTGGAATAGTGCTTTGTATGCAGTAAGTAAATGTTTCTTGTATGAGTGAGTGATTTCATGGGGAATTTTCCCTTTTGCTTTTATATTGCAACATGAAAATGACTGCAACTTAATTAGCTGTTGGAGAGGATAAAGAAGTAGAGAAATTATTTGAAAAGCTAGAGCTGAGGTTCCCAGATTTATTTGACCTCCTGCTGCCTTTTCAAAAAAAAAAAATTATTCAGCACCCCTCTGGAAATCTACTTTCTTTAACCCTTTAAAGTTTTTTTAAAATTTGTGTCATTTCAAAAAATACATAATTTTTAAAAAATGACACATCTTAAATTTAATAATTTATTGCAAATTTGTGGGTTTTTTTCTGCATTGCAATTTTGATGATGCAGTAGTGTGTCAAACAAGTCATTATATGTACATATTCCTGTTGATGCATGCTGGATTTCCCAACAATGTGTGACACTTGTTTGTTAATTGGACTTGACCACTGATCATTTATAACTTGGATTTTGCCTATGTGTGTGTAATATTGTTTTCCTATAATCCACTCTTGACTAAGTGATAACTTTTAGGATGTTCTTTGTATTATTTTAGGAGACTTAAATCGTCACTGGAGTTAACTTAAACCCTTTTCTCCTTAATTATCAAAAATACATGCTCCATACTAATATGCTATTAGTGGGGCTGTGAATTCAACCATTCTGGAAAGGAGTTTGGAATCATGCCTTAAAAATGACTAAAATGTCCATACTCTTTGACCCAGAAATCCTACCACTAGGCATATACCCTGGAGAAGTCAAAGAGAAAGAAAGTTCCTACGTACACTAACATAGTTATAATAGTGTTTTTGTTTTGGCAAAGCAAAGTAGATGTCCAGGGATTGGGGAA